TTACTCTTTCTATGTGTACACTTAAGACAGAGGACCACATCCAGGTACCATTTTTACCCCCTTCTGTGCCTCTCGACTCCAGCATGTCAGGCCAGGGCCGGTCCCTCAATTCCTAGGAAAGACGAAAATACGAGGTGGGCGTCCCCATAGAACCTCGGGAGGTCACACATCTAACCCGACCAGCAGGTAGAGGGTAGAATGACACTCAGTGAGTGTGTGCTGGGCCCATCTTATATACTCAGGGGGTCATGTATTTCTCTTTCTTGTCTGTCATGCCAAATGGGGCTGGTCTGTCTGCTGTGAGACCAGTTCTTACAAGGGAGTTGAGAACTTAATTTACACTTGTAAGAGAGATTTGAGATGATTAAATTGGAAGTACAGGACATTGTTTTCTCAGTGGGAAATTCTCCTTCCAGTGAGTGTGTGTGTTCGGATCAACATAGGTGCCAGCCGCAGCCTCGAGGCCAGCTTATTGACTTAACTGCTCTCTATCCACATATCTGTGTTTCAGCTTCTCAGGATCAGATGAGCCAGCATAGACTATGCTGATATTATTGCTCCTTCTCTGCCCTGTGCTTCAGAGAAGCAAATAAGATGGATGATATGGGGTTAGTCTGTCTGGCCACAACCACCTAACCCCAGGTTTGTGAGTTCAATCCTTGAAGGGGCCAGTTAGGGGCAAATCTGTCAGGGGTGGTACTTGGTCCTGCCGTGAGGACAGGGAACTGGACATGATGACTTCGGAAGGTCCCTCCCAGCTCTGAGAGAGATTAGATAATATGGAGATATACCTATCAGTTCCCAATGTGACTGGCTGCCTGCTGCTTCCTCTGATACAGAGGCAGTGGTGTGGGGTGGCAGCAGGCCCTTCTGTGGGGAGTCCAAGCTCCCTGCAGACAGAGACTGCTTTGCAGTAGTAGCAGTCCCTTGTCTGCTGGGAGCTTGGGACTGCTACTACTGCAGAGCAGTCTCTGTCTGCAAGGAGCTTGGACTCCCCACAGAAAGGACTCCCCACAGAAAGGCCTGCTGCCACTCCACACCACTGCCTCTGTATCAGAGGAAGCAGTGTAGGGCAGCCGATCTGCATGGAGAGCTGATTTTTGAACTGGCTCCTTGCGTGGACCAGCACCCACTTGCCACCCCATGCACTGCTACTACTGCAGAGCAGTCTCTGTCTGCAAGGAGCTTGGACTCCCCACAGAAAGGACTCCCCACAGAAAGGCCTGCTGCCACTCCACACCACTGCCTCTGTATCAGAGGAAGCAGTGTAGGGCAGCCGATCTGCATGGAGAGCTGATTTTTGAACTGGCTCCTTGCGTGGACCAGCACCCACTTGCCACCCCATGCTGCTGCTTCTGATAGAGAGACAGCATGGATTGGGAGGGGGTTACCTGGAAGAGGGGCTGGGAGCTCACTGGCTGCTGGTCCTGCCCCCAGGGATTATTGAATAGTCGTATCACTGCTAAAATTCATGGGGTTACATGACTATTCAATTGTACTGTATCTAACTTTTCTATAAAATACCACTTTTTTTTTGATGTTTTACAAATTGATCGACGCTTGGGCAGGTGGGGTAGCTGCAACTATTTTAGTTGGTGTGGTATCCCATTTAACTCCACTATCTCTGTACGGCTAAAATTTATTAGGGACATTCATCAGATAACTGTAATGTTGATTTTTGCTTTGTAGCCCTCTTTTAAAGGCTAACAAGCTTTAAAAGAAAATATGCTAACCTTATCAAAAGTTGCTCAGAGTCCAAGTATATGTTGCAAAGTCGTTCTTTTCATTTTTTAATAGTTTCATTTTGGTGCTAGCAGATTTTCCTCTCATGCAGAATATGGTTGCAAGTCAATAGTCCTGAGATATCAATAGTCCCAAGAATATATGGAGAACTCTGCCTCTAGGAATATATATTTGATATGTAGAATTTGAATAAAAGTGAATCAAAAAAAAGTCAAGGAAAATCTCTGCTCAACTGCTAGTCATGGGGATTATCCACTTAACTAGCCCATGTGTAAGTGGGAAGTCTAATTGGAGTATCATCCTATAAAATGAACACAATACGCTGGAGTGCTTTCTAATGATAACTGAGCATTTTATACATATTGTATGTCCCGTTTTCAAAAATGCTCCCATCTTAGTTTTTCTTTGAGATTAAAGGTCAAAGCTGTGTTTAACAATTGAGTCTTTGGAAGGGAAAACAAATGTATACTCCAACAATAGTATAGTGCTTATAAAATGTCTCTGCAATTGTCAACAGTAGAGAGTTATTGAAGCACAAACTTGCATTCCAATATCATTAGCATTTTACTGAATGGAATCCAGATGTCAGTATTGCTTCCTGCTCCAGATGTGCACTAAGCAACTGATGGGGCACATATCTGTCCTGTGTAGCAGTTAACATTAAATTTGGTTGGCATATCTTTGTATATATATATTTTTTTAATTTGTGGCAGTATAATAACTTATATTAATTGTTAGTGACTGAAGGAGTCTGTCATTTTTTAGTGTTTCACCAGGATTTCCCTTGGGAGTGAATCCAGTCATTTAAAAAATGTTTGAGGGAAATAAGATGGAAGTAACTTTTCCATTAACAATGTATATTTAAAAAAAACCTTGCATAAATTAATTTAACTAATCTTTCACATTATTAATAAAATCTGGATGAACAATTTCCAGGTGGAGATTTCTCAACACCTAACATTCCTCTTTGTAATGAATACATCATATTAAAAATAGGTTTATTATTACTCTTAATCATGAATACAAAATTGAAAGTTTAGTATCATTTGGATGAATAGCAATATTAGACAAACATGCAATACAACTTTATAGGCTGTCCTGCATATTCATAGATGCAAATAAATTGAACACGTCCCAAATTGATACCCTCTCCTGCTACCTTGTTCTCTTTCTTGCAGTTGTCCAAGATAGGACTTTAGGCCCAAATTTTTAAAGATATTTAGGCATTGCTGCTCTCAGTATTGCGATGCCTAAGACTGAAGTCATTTAGGCACTTTAGTGCCTAAATCCCTGTGACATTTGGACTGTGAAGTTCTTAAATTACTTTTGAAAATAATTTAGGTTCCTAGATTTATGAGTGTCTAAATACCTTTAAAAATCTGGGCTTTAGACTGCTGAAAAATTTATAAATGTATATTCTGAAGTTTCCTGGAAAAATAGTTCCCCTATTTCATGCTAAAATAATCCAAACAAAGTTCACTGTTACTTTTGTCTTTATGAACAAGCATCCTCATGTTTGCTCCTACAAAAAATATTTTAGTTGTTTATCACTCTTTTCTTTGGCTAAGGTATAGCCATTTCCTCACCCTCGCACCCCCCAACTCCTTGACACTCAAATGTCAACTAGGGAAATTCTGAACTCTATTGCCTGTGAGTGTGGTTTGGTAAGCACTGTGAAAGAACGTTAATCCAGTTGCTGAAACTGTTCTATGAAGTATCTGATATATTGAAACAATTGTCCATTTAGTATCTATTTGATATACAGTAATTATGGAAGAGGATACATTATAAAAACATATACAAAGGCTGCAGAAATAGCCATGTAGGAGGGAAAATATTTATTGTTCTGATATTATGGTTTTATTTAGATTAGCAAGTATTTACAAAATATCAACTGCTAATGTATTCAGAGTTCATGGCATTTTTCAAAAATCTAAGTATGTTAAAACAGTTGGGAAGAAACTAGCTTTTAAAAGTGTTAGGACCTAATGAAGATAGGATTTAACATGATTTTATTCAGCACTTCATTAAAACATTTTAGTTCATACATTAAAAACACTAGCCCTCTTCCTAATCTAGTCTACACACATTAAAATGCTAAAGACTCAATGTAAAGTAAAAAAATTAGCGGTGGTTCCTTTCTCACTTGCCATCTACCCCTCTCCCTTCCCCCGCCTTCCCCAGCTTGATAGATGAGGATCTGCAACCTTTTCCATTTCAGAGATGTATCTATTGCCAACAGTGACTTCACATGCCATGTTTGCAGGCCAAGGGTGGTGACTGAGAGAGCAGCAGTTGCACAGTTGCTTTTAATTAAAAGATTCCCCATGGCAACTTTTAGGAATGTGGATGTGCACAATTCCAGGAAGTGCATATAGGCCAGAGTTAAATCTACTGAACCTTAGCACAGTGATACATGTATCCTTTCAGGTGAACAAACATGTCAACCTGTAGAAATAGAAGCCCAAGAGGCTTTAAAAAATTCTTAAATGTTACAAGAGGGTAAAAAAAAATAATAGTTTGACGCAACTGGCTACTTACTTTTTTACTTTTTTATATTTGTAATGTAAAGGTAAAGAACTGCAGCTTCTGAATTAGTTCTAGAACTGGCAGTCAAGGTGAGTTCATAGTTTTGGTGCAGCTTGTTCCCAGCATGTTCCTTTTATTTGGCAAACCTGCTGCTGCTGCATTCTGTATCAGTTGCACATTTTGGATGACATCCATGCCCTGACACATCTCATTTTTGTCCCATGGGATACTTACATTCATGGTACAATGCTAACCCAATGACACTGGCACTCTTCATATGAGGATCCTATGCCATCCTGGATTGAACCTGCAGTTAATAAGTGCATGAGCTTAATTCAAGTGAAGAGAATGTCAAGATGGCTTGGTAAGTGGTGAAAAGTGAGACAAAATAGGGAAGTAGCTGAAGCACAGACTTTAAGGGAAATCTTCCCTCGCTATATGTGACTGATTTTTCTGTTACAATATAACAAATTAGTTCAGTATTTTGTTTTTTGATTTATTCTGAATGTGCTGACTATACAATATGTTCTATGATTTTCAGAATAGCTATCCCAGTTTGGTTACACAGGTGTGATTAATCCTGACTTTGGTACACAATGCCCGAGTGCATATGGAACAACTATGTATCTAACAATCTGGTCAGCAGATAAATTACTTAGACATAATAATGTTATACATTTTTTGAAGTTTACTTTAAAAGCTTTGTTTTGATTGTTTTATTCAAATAGGTTTCCTCCGTTTTTTGATGACAACCCATTTGGTATATATCAGAAAATTCTTGCCGGAAAAATAGATTTCCCCAGACATTTGGATTTGTATGTGAAGTAAGTATACAGGATTTCATTATGGGCATATTTATTTTTAATTACTTCTTGAGCATTATTTGAAAGGATCTACTTAGGAGTATACCTTCTTGAAGTTTTTAAAACTCTTTGCTGGAAAGTATTTTGGACTAAATTTAGCCTTGAAATCAAAATGAAAACATTTAATATAGTTTAAATCTTTTTCTCCCACTTCCTGTGAATACCTTTTCAGGAACAATGCTTCACACAATGTCATTATTAAATTTGTAGTAGCAGATTTGATGAGCGTGCTCCAGCTTTTATATCTGTTTATGCTGGCTGATCCTAGTATCCCCTGCTTGTACATGTTTTGAACAATGGCTGCCCTTAAAATGCTGCTGCCACCACCAGTTTCCTGTAGTTTCCTCTTTTTACATATTGTATTCAATACAATCCTTCTCAACAAAGAGTACACATCTTCAAATGTGCTGTCTGCAGTAATTTCTGGGCATATGGCCAAAAGATGAACAATACAAAGTTGATTTCTCTCTCATTTGTGACTAGGTCATCATGATGAAAAGCAGTTAACCTAGGGTACTGTTGATATCTGTTTGTAATTTTAAATTACACAGTAATCAGAAGCTTGTATCATCTGGTAAATCCTGATGATGTGAAAGACATTCTAGTCCTGCACTCAGCATGTGTGTGAAGTTCCATTGCTCAATCAGTACCAACGGCCATCAATGAGCAGTTAGGCATCGTACCCTTTGATACTCTTTTCCTGGTTCTCTTTTTGCTTCTCTAGGTATTCTTTTAGTATCTGTCTTGATGGATAATCTTCCTCCTTTTCTGTGGGAGTCCACACGGCTTTGTTATTTGTCCTTCATTTTTTTCTTTTTACACCTTTTTGGATGAGGTCCTCGAATGTTAATTTATACTGTTGACTAACCAATGTCATGCTTCACTCTTAACCTGGTTCCCACTATCCAGTAGGTATTTTTTTCTACCTCTGATCTCTTCCTTGACTTTTCACCATTAGTTTAAACCGAACTCCCTGATTTTTTTTACTATCAATCCACCCCCTATCCTCTTAGATTTTTTTTATGCTATCTCAGCCTCCTTTTCCCCACCTCCTTTTACTCCCTCCCATCTAGGTTGTGCCCAAAGAACTATTCATCTGCATGATTTCCATAACATCTAGCCTATAGAAACTCTTGGCAAGGCTTTGATCTGTCCCCTTTAATACTGCACTTTTTTTCCCCCATCTGTTCCACTTAATGCCTGTATCATTCCCTATAATCCATGGAGGAAAAAACTGCTTTTGAATTGTTCGTCTGACACCACCTTCTCATCTTCCTCTGTTTCATGTTCAAATTTCTTGTTACTGCTAGTAAGGCCCTTCGTAAGTCTTTGCCCTTTTTTTAAAAAAAACTTCTGTATAACCTAGTGTGTTTTCACATTGCTTTTCATTTTCCCTATTTTCAAAACCCACTTCTGACACACATTATGAGAATTAATGATGCCTAGGTTTGAAGGTATTTGTGAGTAGCTGTCCCCGCACTACCTCATTCCCTCTCAAAATGTAGAACTCCTAATACTACCTTCCTGACCACTCTATTTTGAGGTGTGTGTGTGTTTGTTTCTTTGGTTAAACTCTTTAGGGCAAAGATATCATTTGTTGTGGTTTTGGACATGCATAATGTTGGAGGTGCTACTGCAGTCTAAATAATTGAGCTGATCTAAGATGTCAGCACCCACTTTAATGGATTGCTATATTTAATGAATTGTTAGCAGATGTGATTTTTTTTTAATTCTTTGTATAAAGTAAGACATTAAGGAAGCACTACACTGTCTCTGAATGCATCCACATTAACATCTGCATCAAAAGAGAATGAGGAACACACATTCACAGCTTTATTGACAACTCAGTGTATTTTCTGTGTATTTTCTGCCTTTCCAAGGGTAGTTTCAAGGAGCAGTCAATGCAGGATTTCTACTACTTGTTCTGCTAGGTGTCCTTAAGTCACACAGTGCTGGTTTAAATGACACAATAAGCAGCCTCAGATTGGGATCCAGCAGTAGATCAAGTCCTTTATTCCTAATTTGGATTTCATGTCACTGTGCTATTTGAAAGGGTGTTTATTTGCTTAGAACAACAATGGATAGATTTCTCATTTCCCTCACTCTTCCCTAAAAATGCCCTATGGGATGGACTAGGAGGAGAAGGAATAACTGAATGACTGAGTTTAAATCCAGTCACTTACTGGCTGAAATGTTTATGGGAGATTAAGGAATCTTCCAGTCTCATGTTTGTATTCCTGTATGTCTGACAACTGAGTATTTTTCCCACTGAGTTTCAGAAATATTTACTCTGCTAGATATGACAGTTTAAGCATTTAGCAAATTTATTATTCAAGTCACCATCATTAATATGCCATACTAAGACTTCTGTGATGTGTTACAATCCTCTCTGGTCTTTTGGGCAATGATTTATTTTATCCTGGCCATGTCCTTTGCAATTGTCGTCGTCTTGTAATAAACCCTGGTTTCTCAAAGGAAAAAAAAAAACTACTTACTGAGTTAGATAAGTGTAGATCTGATTTTTCACAGGTTTTCACCAATGTTTATCCAAGATTATTTCATTAGGTAGGTCTACACTACAGCCCTATGTTAGATGTAATTGCTGCCAGGGCTGTAAGTCATACTGTGACAGAGCTCCTTTTCAGCCTTATTGGGTCCCATGGTTTCAGGTGGGTTGCTTGTGTCCGAGGCTCATAGAAGCCCTCAGTTTTGGCACTTTCCCTAGGGTACCAGTTTACTTGCATCATTGGCCAGCATGGGGGAAAAGTGGGGAAACCAAATTCCATAGTCTCTGTGCCCCCTCCAGAATGCCCCGTTCCCAAAGCCAGTCCTTTTCCCAGGCTCACCCTCTACTCCAGGTACCAAACCAGGAACCCCCTGAAAGCAATTGCCTGCAAATGTCTCCAATAAGAGCTTTGTGACCACTACAATTCTCCTGGCTGCTTTCGCCAGCACCATTCTTACCACAGGCTCTTCCTTCTGGTATCTGCTTGTTCTTGCTCTTCCTAGATTCTCTATAGCCCCTTCTCTCTTTAGATCCTCATACGCACGGAGCCCTTTTTAACCAGTCTCAACTGGTTCTTAATTGACCCCAAGTGTTCTGATCAGTCTGACTCACTTGACTCTGGAAACCTCTAAACTTTTTCAGTTGGCCTGATTTCACTAATTGATTCTAGCAGGTTCCTGCTGGTTCTGGGTTAGCCCTTGTTAGTTTACCCTGGGAACAGGGACCTATTGAATCTGGGGCTAATATATTTCCCTTCTACCACTCTCCTATAGCCCCCTGGCCTGACTCTGTCACACTACCCTCCTTCTGTCGGTATTGCACGACCTCATCAAGTGCACTTCCACCGACTGAAGAGGGGCATTATAAAATGCGGAGCCCTCCACACAGCTCCCAGGTGGAAGCCCAGCTGCTCTCTGTTCCCTGCTGCCTGACTTCCTTGTCAGTTTCACAACTCCAGCATGGCGGCATGAAATTAAGACTGTCTACAGCTGATGTAAGTAATACAGTGTCTACACAGACACTGTCTCTCCCCAGCTACACCAACATAAGCCACACATCTCTTGAGGAGGTGAAGTAGTTATGTTGGTGTTGTAGGGCACTTACATTGGCGGGACAATTCTGTAGTGTACATTGACATAACTACATTAATATTAGCTATATAGTATAGACCAGGCCTTAATGGAGTTATTCTGTATTTACACTGGAATAAGAAAGACAAATTTGATTGTTGATTTTGTTGTGGACTAGTACTTACAGATGTAATACTTTTGATTTCCTAAGTGTAGTCTCAGCTTTTAAAAAATTGAATTTAGCTTTATGCGAAGCTCATAAAACAATTTTAGGGTCTCAAAGTATGCATTTCGTTTTCTTTGGGGGATTTATGAATGCAAGCCATTCTCCACTATATTTTTAAGCTGAAAACTTGCTGTTCCACATTTTTTCTCTTTAACGGAGGTAGAATTCATTATATTATTGACTAAAACCTAAAGAAAACAATTACCTGTAAGGTCTAGTCTAGAACAGTGCTTTGAACAAAATTCAATTTTGATTTGAGATTTGGAATGCCTAGCAAAATGCAAAGGAAGGTTAGACACTACTGGAGGGTAAGGAACTTGTATTCCAAATCTTTTCTTAAGAAACTATACTCGCTAGAGAGATTCACCTCCATTCTTCTGAGAGAGTTTACCTGTTCTCATACCAGCCTGGAACCCTTTGAATATTAAATCTTCTGAAATATTGCAAATGTGAATTATTAAAACACATAAATTGTTTATTCTGGTAAAATAAAGTGCTTCCAGTGGGCATATCGTAATGAAATAAAACAATGACAGATTTTTCCTCTGTTACAGGGACCTTATTAAGAAACTTCTAGTGGTTGATAGGACAAGGCGGTTGGGAAATATGAAGGTTAGTGTTACATGTTAAAAAATTTATATATGAATTTTGAGTTCCCTTGTGTGTGTTTTGTAACTTAGACTAAACATCTAAATTAGTATGTGAAAAATAGTTAAATTTGTATGTTCTGATTTTTTTTTCATATGTGTACAGGTTGGATGAAAGCTGAAGTTGTATCTCTATTTCACTTAATTGCTGTTACTGGTGTTGAATGTATAATTGAACCACACATTCATTTGAATGTAAGCAAAAGAAAAAAATATTAGTACAGAAGGAGTGGCAATATGTATGTGATGGGATGATCCATTGCATTAGGACTGCCATCTGGCATTTTGTCCAGATGCACTCCTTTCCTTTGCAGTTCTATTGCTTTGGTCAGTTTTAATGGTTATGTTCCCAAGGGCACAATCTGCAGTCATATGTGTAAGCATGTCAGTGACTATCTAGAGTGTGTAACTATTTTCCAGCTCTTTTATTTAATGCTGCAAACATTTGGAAAATTGCTACAACTGCTACTAGGTGTTAAAAAGATCCTTTCTCTGGAGATGAAGATACCCAATCTACATTGGCTTCATTTGGAAAGTGTGAGTGGTTTTCCATGGTTTCAGTTGGGTCTCCTGTAAAATTGTGGCATTCCTATAGCCATAGGTATCAGCATTGTCGTTACAGTGAAAATTCACAAGCAGATTTCACATCACCCACTTGTCGTCATTCTGTTGTGGAATTAATGTAATACCATGGCCATAAGGAGGTGAATGTGCAGCTTTTCTGATACAGTGGTGCATATGTATATACACATTACACAGCATACCCTCTAAAAATAAAACAAGGATAAAAAATATCAAAGTGTAATCCTATCACTTTATATCCTGTTTAATGGTTAAGTGGAATGAAAATGAAGTATTGAGATGTGGGCATGCTAGAAATTCCTATAGATTTAAATGTGTACTGTCAGCTTCCCACACAGCTTCCTACTGCCCTTTCATTCAGATAGTATCCCTTCAATAAAATGTTCTTTGTTGCCATTTTCATACTGTTCTAAATCTCGAGGATGTGGATCCCTTTTTTCAAAAGAGAAGCTTCTTCCACCCATCTTCATATTGCCTTTATGTGAATCTATGGTGCACTCACATCTTGAATACTGTGTGCAGATGTGGTCCCCCATGTCAAAAAAATATGTTGGAAAAGGTTCAGAAAAGGGCAGGAAAATTATTAGGAGCATAGAATGATTTTCATCTGAAAAGATTAATAAGACTGGGAATTTTAGCTTGGAAAAGAGACCACTAAAGGGAGACATGATAGAGGCCTATAAACTTATGACTGATGTGGAAAATAAATAAGGAAGTGTAGTTTACTACTCATAGCACAAATTAGGAGTCACAAAGTGTCATGTTTCTGTGTACTTGCTTATTCTGAATAAATAGTGCATAGTTAAGCATTGTAACTTAAATGTAAGAGAGCCATGGCAATCTCGCATTTTTATGTTTGATGTTTCATAAATTCCTTTAAACAGTGTGGGAGGATAACTGAAGGGAAATCAAAGCTTAACTTTGCAAACAGAAGAAACTGGGTTAGCAATTAGAAAATTCAACATTTAAAACTGGAATTCTGATTGCTAGTACTGTTTAACTGTACATTGTTTCTTAGGTAGCAGTATAAAAGGCTTTCCTAGCATGTGCCTGTGTGCATGCCACTGTAGATGTGCATGGCCTCTTGCACAAGATGGAATGCTTTTAAGTAGCAGTGGCTGTGGTCACACTTATGCCTTGTGGGTTTATGTGAGCGTGTGAAGGACAGGGTGGATTCAAGTCCTTTCACATCGCATAACAGTGAGACAGAACAAAGTGAGCATATAATCTGCTGCCATATAACTTTGGCTAAACCCTCTGCAGGTCTTTTAAAAACCTTCAGAACTTCAGTTATCTTGACTTATAATTTCAGTAATTATTTCTGCCCACCTGTATTGACTAGTGACCAGTACAGCCCTCTGCACCTTGGAAATTGAAGCCTGTGGGATTGAATCCCTGTCTATTTTGTCATGAGTAAATCCCTTTAATATTAACACAACAGGTGTCTCTCCTGCCTAGGAATCACATATACCAGACAGAAATTCAGTGTTCCTGTTGCTCTCTGCTAAGATAAGTAAGTCATGATATGTGAGGTGGAAGTTCAGGGTAGGAGGGTGGGGGAAGTTTGTAATCGTTTGCAAAGGTTTCATGAAACGTTAATAAGACCAGCTCCAGAGTTTTGCTAGCGGGCAAGCTAAAATCATCCATGTTCCATCTAGCAAAAAGCAACACTGAAGTTCAGTACCAAGAAGATGATGATGGCTGAATTAATATCCAACACAGGGGTCCTTGACAACCCCAACATCTTTAGTATCAAATCCAGTACCAGTGCCTTTGGTATTCAAGTCCAGCACTGACATTCTAAACACAGAGACTCTGGGAGAGAAGCAAAATATCATCCTATAAGGACAGACTGTTACAACATCAAGGACTGAGAAGGATCAGTCTGCAGCAGGAAAGACCTTTCTAAGAGTTAGCCCAATTATGGCGATGTCTCCCTTAACATTGACACCTGTCACGGAAGATGAATCCAGAAGAGAACTGGGGCTGCCATTGATGCAGAACAACCTACTAGTACCTCTATAGATATCCCAGTACTAAGAGTGCCAAAGCTTCCTAGGTATCAAGTCTAGTACAGTAGATGAAGTCTACTACAGGTTGCACCTCCAAAAACTGGGACACTCTCTGGTCTGGAAACATCTGTGGTCTGGCAAGGCCATGAATGTTGCTGGACAAGGGAGCCATGGCTGGGAGCCCTGTGGTAGGAGGACTGGGAACCTGGGGGCAAGAGGGCTGGCAGCAGCGGGGCTGGGGCTAGGGCTGGGACCATATCTGGAGCCCCGGCATCAGCAGCCCCAGTAGCAGGGACAGGGCAACAGCAACCCCAGTAGTGAGACCGGGGCAGTGGCAGCCCCTGTTAGTGGGGATGAGGCTGCTGCAGCAGCAACCCAACAAGAGAGCTGGATCATGGGAGCCTGGCCGGGAGGGCTGGGACCAACAGCAGAGAGCAGCCAGTAGCTGGAGATGTTCCCTGGTCTGGCAAATTCCCTTGTTCAGGATCTGTCAGGTCCCAAGGGTGCTTGACCAGAGAGGTCCAACCTGTACTTCAAACAATGGTCCCTAATGTATTCCACTAAGGCATGTGCACCATATGTCTGGAGCCAGTTACCTTGTAAGTAGTATTGCATGTGAGTATGGGCGTGCACCTTTGGCTTGCCTCATGTTTTTGTGCCAAGTTGTAGAGGGTGGAGAGGACCTACTGTGAGTATTGTTCATAATTAGAAAATTTTACTGAGTTTGTGATTTATGTAGTCATTTCGATAATCTTAGTTTTAGGAGTAGAAATGATTTCCTTGTGGAGAGGATTTCATGGAAAGAGTATGAATATTGCACTGTGCCAAAAAAACAAACAAACAAAAAAACGGAGCTTTAAATCTGCACCATCTTCCTGCATTCTTTCTTGATTAAAAAATCATCAGGACTGCTTCGGAAAACCCACATTTCATCCAGGTGCGGTTTCTGCTTGTCCTTCCCCTGCTGTATCTGAGAAGGCCAAACTTTCCATCTCTGAAAGTATCTCATGAAAGTTGTCATGAAACTTCAACCTAACCCAGGCCACTCCTTCCTTTAGTCCCTTTACTTCAGCCTTCAGCAGCCAAGAGTATGCCTCCAATGACAGATTCTGGCATTGGCAGTACCATCACTATGAATCCTGCACCAAGGCCTAGTGGGGAGGCAAGGAACCATGCACTTGAACATGACAAGTCTTCTTCTAAGACTAAAGAAAGGAGAGGCTCCTTCCACCAGTTCTAGTCAATGGGACCCAGCATGTTCTAAAGCATACAAGCATGAAAAGAGATCACAGAAACCATAGAACTTTTGGTATTTGGGTACCAATCCACGTGCACCTGTTTGAGCTAGAGAGCCATCTGTACTGGAGAAGATGACTGCTCTCATATGGATTCTAGGGACAAAGTAAGTACCTTTGGCTCCAGAGAGGTCAAGAAAACTTCAATAGCCCCAGGAAGTGTTTGCTCTTACATAGAAGTGCCCATGCCTTCTGAGAACTTCTGCTTCCAATGAGCCTTTTTGTAGATCCATGCTTTCAAGAGTACCATAGATGAAGTTGATCTCGGAATTTTTGTCTTCAAAGAAATCTGAGGGACAAGGGGACATCCATCTACTCCTGCTGTTCTGAGTACTTCTACATCATAGCAGTATCCTCTGCACCAGCTTCCAGGGATTTCCTGATTTCCCTCACTAAGGGGCTCACCACAAACAGTGGTCTATCAGGGATCCTTGCCACAATATGCATCTTCAGAACCGATTTGTTAATAGCAAGGTAATAGTAAGAACATTACTTCATCCAGTAATGGATGCAGAAGATACTTCATCACATCCTATAGCCACAGGCTTCATTCATCTGCTTTCCCCGAGAAGATACAAAACACTATCAACGAGAACTTTCAATGGCTCCCATCTTTCCATCCAGAAAATGGATGACTCTTTCCATGCGTTCAAAGATTAAAGAGAGATACTTTATTTCTTGGGCACACCTGTGCCAAATTGTATATACTCACTGCCAACACACTTTCTAGGGGTTTTTTCCTCCATTAGTGGCCTTCAAGGAAGCATCAAAAGATGCTATCCTCTGCTCAACCATTGTGTCTTCATCCTTTCACCCTCCTCCAGTTTAGATATTGCTTGTTAATCACCCTCAGTGGAATGCCATAGGGATCCTCACTCAAAGAAGAGGAGGAGGTTTTTACCTGTGGTCGAGATTCTTTGAGATGTGTTGTCCCTATCTGTATTCCACTTCCTGACCTCCTTTCCCTCTGCTATTGGTCTTTTGGATTTGTGGTGGTGAAGGAACCGGAGAAACAACCCACCTTTTATCAACTCAAATAAATCACAAGGGCATGTTCATGGATCTATATATGTTGC